AGTCTTAATATTCATATAGACAGTCTTGTTTCCAATCATATTGTATATACTGATGCTATGAATGTATTTCAGTCCGATATGAGTACAGACGGAAACACGTTCTCCGGGAGAAGATGACCCCGCGTCGTCGCGTCTTGGCAGGAATTCGTCGTGCTATTTTTGCCGCTGGTGTCCTGGCGCTTATTGTCCTGGCATTGTCAGGCCAGGATGGCACCAACACCCTGCAGCACGGGAATTCGCTGGAGGTGAGTTATTTTTTACAGAAATGTTCATCAGCGATATTTCGAGGATCTTTAATATTTTAAAAATCTGCACCACATTGTTTCAAATAATACAAGTACAATTTATGGAACTCGAAAGCCGAACTATCGTGAATTATTTAACACCAGCATGATGTTTTATTCAATAACTTTAATAGCATTTTCCAAAATCATTTAAAGTTTCATATTCAAGTATAACCGAACTCGCGTCAATTTTCAATATTATATAACAAAAATCGCAATGCTATGTGTAATCTCAATTTTAATTCTGCTGATAATTGCGCGTTCTATTTTTAAGCAATCATTTAAGTAAACATTTATCTTAATTACGTGCTATAAAAGTGTTATTTCAAGAAGGAATGTTATTCATTCTTAACATAACAAAAGTTCGCGTAAAAAAAAGAATTGATTTTGAGGGAACGCCGATTTCTGTACTAACTTCCAATCGACTTCCTTCGGAGGAGACCGAAAACCTTACATAAAGCACAACGACCATAGATTGGCACATTTCCAGGCGCAATGCGGTACGTGGATCAGTGCCCGCCTAATATGGCCTATTTAAAAACCCGAAAAAGTAGTTAAAATTACTTCTATACGGAAAAACGATTTTCCTAAATATCTAAAATTCTAGATACAAATCTGAAAATAATTTTCTTAGACCATCAAAATAATTATGTAGGATGCTCAAATTGATAGAACGTCCAAACTTTTTGCAGCATTGCTCATCATACTTCAGATTCTTACGTAAATATTTTGATGGTCCAATAAAATTATTTTCAAAACTGTATCTATTACAGTCAAATTTTTAGATACCGCAATAAAATGAAATTAAATCAGTCCTGATATGTAAACATAATCATTTCACGATTATCGGGAACGAATATACGTATATTCATTAAATCTTTCAATATGAGATTTATCAGACAAATAAATGTATATTATACAATTTAATAGAAATATGTTATCATCGATGTAAATGTATGTTATCACAACAATAAGCTCTTTTATGGACGGATTTCAGTTTAGAGGGTGGAAGCACTTCACACAAAACTTATTAAAATACTTACATTAAAGCCAGCCTTCAAGAATCTTTAATAAACTTTCGTATAAATAACGTGTCAATAAAGACAGAAATTACCGAAAAAACTATCAATTTTAAGTAAAAAAAACTAGTAAAACCAAATCTTTTACACCGGCCCTGAAAGTTTTTCACTATAGGTACGTGTTTTCTTTGGACATTTGATCCCGTGTTATTGTTATAGAATTCAGTTTTTGCATTTTTTGAAAAGACTTCTATGTAAAAATAGCTGTGAACAAACAAAAATATAGTACAATGACTATGTGGCGGTAGCCATAGATAGAATTTTAGATCCAGTTTCGAAAAGGTGTTATAAATTTATTAGATATCACAACGCAAAGACGTTTCCACTTCGATATTTATAAAGTTATATATTAAATAACACTAAAAAATAAAGTAAATATTAAACGTTTTAACGATATATATCAAGAAAAATAAATTCTATGTATTTTTTCAGAATTTTAATTGAAAAAATAGCTTTTTTATGGTTTTTAGCATAAAAAACTGTAAAAAATTTTTTACTCTGAAGTCATAAAAATCTGTTTTTCCATCTCTAAGTGTAAGTCACAAATTGGATAACAAGAATTTAATTTTTCATAAAATAAAATAATTTTTAAAATTTAATTATTTTTCTTTGCCAAAAGTTATGGGGATACACGAAATATATACAAAAAGCGATTTCGCTAAAGTATTAAAAAATTTAACTAGATACACACACACACACACACACACACACATCTGAAAATAATTTTGTTGTACTGTATCTAAACAATTATGTAGGAAATAATGAATAATACTACAAGAAGTTTTGAAATTCTATCCAGCTTGAGCGTCTTACATTAATTATTTTGATGATCTAACAAAATTATTTTTCATCTATATCTACCTAAATTTGTAAATACTTCACAGAAAAATTTTCTTTTAGTGTATCAAATAAATATAAGTTACTTAAAAAAAATACGTTGCAAAGAAAAAATTTTTATAGAAAGTAAAAAGAAATTTATTAATATAAAGAATAAACCATTCCAAGCAAAATAAACAATTTTTTATGTAATATTATAATTGCAAAATTTTATACAATTTTATAGTCTAAAAATTATTGTCGCTTAATATCATAAAATACTTTTGCAAATCGACTTGATTCTTTTAGCGAAAAATTTTTTTACTAACAATTTAATAATAACAAATAGAGCATCATGAGACGGAGGAAGAAAAATACATAAAGCGAAAGAAAATATTATATTTCATAGGATCACGAGATTATCCGATTCAGATAGCGTATAACGCCGAAAAGGTTTCTACGTAGTCGGCAGTCACATGATAAGTGACGGTCATCATACACGTGTAACACACCATATTTTTGCCATGACGTTTTAAGCTACAAAGATTACATGTTGGAAAAAATTAATACTAACAGAATCACGAGATAGAAACTCGTACTGTAATGCATAAAAAAAATTTTTTTAGAAACGATATATAATCTTTATTAACAAAGTTGCTCTCTCGCTGAGTAATAAAAACTGAATCAGAGCTTATACCAACAATAGGGTATAATGTTTCACAATCAGAGATCTAAAAAACCGAATGTGGATTGAAGTTTATCGAGAATGAAACAGTAATAAAGATAAAAACTTAACAACAATTAAAAACTAAAAAAATACAATTTTAATTCCAGCGCCACCTAAATAAGAAAGACGTTTTTATCCGAAGGGCATTAATTACTTATTACATCTTAATACGCCAAACAAATATGTAACAATACCAAAAAATAATTATAACAGTGAAAAAAATTATCACATAACGGTTGTTGTATGATACTAAAAAAAAAAGAAACTTGTTGTAAGGAAGATTCATGTATCCACAACACTGCTATTTCTCGTACATTTTACAGTACTTTGGTCGCGACAAGTGAACACGTAATGGCACTCTGGAAGCTTGTCTAACCGGAATTTGTCTTATCGCTGAACAACGTGGTACCTACTTAACGCAAATGCACAGAAATACGGAAAATAACGGCGATATGCTCCCTAACACCTCGCAGGAAGGTGGCACGTGTATCCACGATACACCAGAGCATAAACGTGCGCGATGCGCCACCACCCTCCTTCGTGGCCCACATTCGTCGCTGCACAAGGCGCGTTCCACATCGAAATCAATAAGCGGAAGCCGGTAGTTCTGCATTCGGTCTTGCCAGCTCGCCGCACTACAATGCGATATCGATGCTGAACGATTATACGTTAGAATCAAGAGAAGAAATCAGTTTTTACGTCTCTCTCTTAGGCCGCTCCCTGTGGAGTTTCGACGCAATCAATTTATAGCAATCTAAATTACTAATCTTTACAATGCCGAGGGCTGATGCAAATTATTTGCTTTTATAATTGGCAAATTAAAGGTTTTTACCATTTTGCTGCTTGTAACTGAAGAAACTGTCTTGTAGAAATTTTAATGTAAATATGAATAAGAATTACAAAATAAGATAAGAATGACGCAAATCAAAGGATACACACACACACACACACACACACACACACACACACACACACACACACACACACACACACA